TAATAAAACCTTAAAAGCATACTTATGGACAAGCACAGATGTGTAGATTTCTGATATTTCTTTGCTCTTTTTAAAGATCTCCAAACATCAAGGCCAGGATGCCAAAGGGCCCCAGCCACAAACTCAACTACCTATCTACCACACTGTCTCCTTCCCAGTTGTTTTCCTGTCTGACGTTGATTGCTCACCCCAAGCTTAAGAAGGATTCGAAGCTACATGTCCAAGGGACATAGGCTCTGCCAACCAAAGCCCAAGGTTCAAACCAAGGCAGAGGCCAAAGCTCCAGCTCAGGCCCAGGCTTCAGCTCCAGCTCAGGCTCCCAAAGGTGCCCAGGCCCCTCTGAAGGCCCCATAGAAAAGGCTCCTGCCAGTGTGAAGAAAGATGGACTGCTGTGACCCACCAACTATACACTATTTGCAGATGACCAGTGTCCGATGCTGTTTTTTACAAATAAACTCTAGGCAAGACAAAAAAAAAATCTCCAAACAACTGGATAACTAAACAGGGTTGCTTTGCATGATAAGGTAGATGCTTTGACAGTTTTACCTGCTGGGATGCTCAGTTCCTATCTGAACCTGAAAAGTTAATTTAAAACGGTAAAATTATTCCATGACTCCTAGACCAGAAGATACAGTTAACATCTTTGTTTGCGTTGAGTAATATACAAGTTAACAAATAAAAACAAAGGTCTTTCTCCCTCCCACTTAGGAAGCAATGAGACCTTTCCTCATTGCCTCTCACTAAGGCTCATCATCTTCACTATTTCCTTGGGTCATGTACATAACGTGAATTAGTAACACGTGAGTATTTGATGTATATCATATTCAACTATAGTCCTTGAACATCACAGTTTACTTGCATATCTATGGTCTTCTAGGGGGATCTTATTGCTTTAGAAACATCAAACCCTCTGTCTTAGTCAGGGTTTCTATTCCTGAACAAACATCATGACCAAGAACCAAGTTGGGAAGGAAAGGGTTTATTCAGCTTACACTTTTCACATTGCTGTTGATCACCAAAGGAAGCCAGGACTAGAACTCAAACAGATCAGGAAGCAGGAGCTGATGCAGAGGCCATGGAGAGATGTTCCTTACTGGCTTGCTTCCCTTGGCTTGCTCAGCTTGCTTTCTTACAGAACCCAAGACTACTAGCCCAGGGATAGTCCCACCCACAGAGGGCCCTCCCCACTTGATCACTAGTTGAGAAAATGCCTTACAGCTGGATCTCATGGAGGAATTTCCTCAACTGAAGCTCCTTTCTCTGTGATAACTCCAACTTGTGTGAAGTCAACACAAAACAAGCCAATACACCCTCTAAATCAGTGATTCTCAACCTGTGGGTCGTGACCCCTTTGGGGAATCAGACAGCCCTTTACAGGGGTCACCTAAGACCATTAGAAAACACAGATATTTACATTATGATTCATAACAGTAGAAAAATTACAATTATTTAGCAATAAAAATAATTGTATGATTAGGAGTCACCACAACATGAGGAACCATATTAAAGATCACAGTATTAGGAAGGTGGAGAACCCCTGCCCCACATATACCAATAAGTTTTATATAATCAACAGTTTATATTCTTAAATTCTCTTGATTTTTCTAAGAAAAATAAGATCACAATCATAGCAACTGATGTGTTTGAGTAAGGGGTATGAAACATTACTGGATTCCTGCCCCCTCCCAGTGTTTTTTAAAGATTAGGACTTAGTGTTGTCTGATATTTTAAGAATACTGGTTTATCTAAATGTAAATTTTCTCTGTTTATAAATGGCAGCAAGAAGTCCAATATCATTACACACTGTGTAGCCAAACAAAACTAACCAAGCCAGCTCAGTCAGTCAACAGGTTCTCCAAGGCAAGAGCGAGGGTTAAAAAGAGAAAGAAGATTCTCAGCCAGTTCTGAGGCTGAGGCGGGTTTATTTTTTCCCAATCTGCTTTTATACCATTTTAATTATATGCAAGTAATAAGGTCAAGCAGTGCAATAAACACAAATAGTCAAGGAACAAGCAAGGCAATAAACAAAGTCCCGTGATCACTCCCGTGATTGCTGTTTCTAAGGGCTCATCAGAATGACCAAAATATCTGAGCCTACTTCCCTGTCCTAGCCCAAAGTCATATTCATTCCTGAAGCCTACTTCTTTGTTCTAGCCTAAGATTTAGATTCCTGCCTGAACTTACTTCCTTGTTCTAGCCTAAAATTAGATTCCTGCCTGTGCTCACCTCCTTGCCATGGCCCAATGTCAAATTCTTGCCTGAAGCCCACTTCTTTGTCCTGGCCTAATGTCAAATTCCTGCCAAGCAGCCCCCCAAAAACAAACACAAAACAATTCTGTGGCCTCGCCTTTAATCCCAGCACTTGGGAGGCAGAGACAGGCGGATTTCTGAGTTCGAAGCCAGCCTGGTCTACAGAGTGAGTTCCAGGACAGCCAGGGCTATACAGAGAAACCCTGTCTCGAAAAACCAAAAAAAAAAAAAAAAAAAAAATTCTGTGGCCTGAATTTGAACTAGTGGTGGTGGTTTGATTTCATAACAGTTTGACTAATTTTCCTACTCAGCACTATAAGTAGATGTTCCTCAATGTACATAGAGTGAAGTGGATATGATATATACCCACTATAAGTTGAAAGTATTGTAAGATTCTGACAAGCCTTAGCTACCAGGGACACCTGAGTGAACCATGCAGGGAGCCGGAGATTGATGCAAAACGAGTTTATTGTTCCATCAAGCTGGGCTTGCAGCTGGTCAGCCAGTTTTTATACAGCTTTCAGGGGTAGAATAGATAGAGCAACATCCACTAGCCACAATGTGATTGGCAGATCAGTGTGACTTTTAAACTGATTGGTCCTTAGGGAATGAGGTAGCAAGGGCTTGCCTTAAATGAAGGGGCCAATGATCAGTCTGCCCTGAGGAATGTGTCTAAGTGCTCTGGGCTTCCCTTATCTGCAGGTGGTCTTCCTGAGGAAAGTGATTAGCCTCTCCCTTCCAGAGGGGAAGGGTGCTTGATGACTTCTCTTTTCCAGGAGGGGAGGGGCCTGGTAGAATTTTCCAAAGGCTCTGAGCTGACCTCTTCAGTATCACTTGAGGCAACCCCGCCTCCCAAACTTCCTACCGCAGTCTAGCCCTCTCACCTTAAACATGCTTACAACAGATACCCTAGCTTACAACAGATACACTAGCAGACAGGTAGCCTATTTTATACTGAATATAGAAAACAGGCTGATCTAAACAAGTATGTGACACATGGCTTCAATTGCATTTTCTTCTTCACATTTCTTTGGCAGAATTGTGAAGTTAAAACAAAACAAATCCTAGATTAAAGCCATTTCAAATCAGGGCAACCTATTTCCGATATTATTCTCTATTTGGATACTGAGAGCTCATAGGTTTTGTGGCTAGTATGAATGTAATTCACTTAATTAGCTATCTAGAGACTTTTACGCTAACAGACATAAGCTGTCCATGGGACTCGTTCAGTAGTCGAAGCCTAGAAGTGGAATTATATATAAAGCAAGGGCTCTGTAAAATGCAAAGACAAGTTACACATGGAAGCAACTGTCACTTATTTCTCCCTTTTGTGTTTTCCAAACAAGAATTAGGAAACAACAATAGCAATGCATTTTTATACAATACTGGAGAAGGTTGGGGTTTAAACTGGTTTCTAGATTAGTTTATACTGGTTAGGGTTTATAGCAGGTTTCTATCTACAGCTATCATTGAGACAGTCACCATAGGAAATAGATCCCTCGAGTCCTGCAATAGGGATATTTACTGTCAGATGGTTGTGTTTATATACTTGACGGTATTGTGAGTAGATGGATCCTGATTTATGATTCTGATAATTAGATGGAAAGTAATTTATTTGGGCTGCTGGTGGTGGTGGTGGTGGTGTGTATTTCGTGTGTGTGTGTGTGTGTGTGTGTATGACAGAGACAGAGACAGAGAGAGACAGAGAGAGACAGAGAGAGACAGAGAGACAGAGAGACAGAGACAGGGAGATGGGTGGAAGGAATATATCCTTGAAGTGAAATAAAGTACAAGATTCTTTGATTTTAGTTCCCAATAATGCCTTTTATTGGCTTCACAATCTTTCACAGGCAATATTCCTGTTATTGAGTCCCTGTTTTCTTTTTAAAATACAAAAATGGTTGAAGATGAAGGTGGTATTTGAAGTGATATAAATAATTTAGATTAAGGAGAAAATGTAGCCAGAAAAAGGAAAGAATCCAAAAGGCTCAAAACATAAATGGAACTTTTGAACATTAAAAAAATAGTTGGGAGAAGCAGGTAGCTAGGAGACTAGGAATCAACTATGTCCGAAAAGGAATTGGTAGGGAGGAATGGGAAGGGATGGGTTACAAGGAGAGGGAAGAATGAATCTGATGTCTTGAAAATCAAAAGAAAAGTAAGAAGAGAACTTAGCCAAATACTACTGAGGAACCATTACTAGAGATAAGGCCTGTTAGGAGACTTTGACAAGGACCATTTCAATAAATGGGTACCATCAAAATTCAGGTGAAAGCCAACAAAGGGGGGAGGGGATGAAAAAAAAATTTGTGCCTTCATAAAACTGTATGTGTTTATCCCAAACCTACAGCTTAAATGTCAGAAGTCCCTTTCTGATCAGATCTCAGACTTTCTAAGGTGCTTCGCATACCTACACTCGACTTTCTGGCTATAAAATTGTTCGATTATGAAAATGCTTTTTAAACAAATCTCCTTAAATTGGCTGATCCCAATAAACATCCATCGTGTGGATTTCCTGCGCCCAGCACGCCCAGCTCATTTTTAGAATTTCTAACCCAGACACTTTGAGGGCGGAGCCGAGAGAGGGGAGCACTACACAGGTCCCGCCCGTCTCTGCGCATGCGCACGCGCACGTCATCCGCGGCCCGTTTGTGCAGCCTGCCTTGCGTTCCTGTGGGTGGTTATTTCAGAGACGGACTGACTACGGGAGCCCAGCCGGCTCTTGCGGAAGTCCATGCGCCATTGGGAGGGACTCGGCGGCTGCTCTATGCCCTTGTTGCTGAGGGCCTCTTCCTGGGTCATTGCTGGAGCAGGAGTCGGACTGGGGCCGACACGGGGCTCCCCCGTGGCCGTCTCGGCGTCTGTGTGTGGTCTGCGCTGGCGGGATGTGGCGAGCACGTCGGGCGGCGGTGGCCTGGTAAGTGCGGCCTGCGACCTGACCCCGTTATGTGGTTCTGGGCCATTTGGACAGTTGAGTTGACCCATCACTACTTCCTGAATGTGCGTGCAGGTGACCGACCCTCAGGCCAGGCCGAGGCTCTTAGAGAATTCTCGCGGATGTTTGAAGGGGTGACGAGAGTTGGCCGGTGACTATTCCTCGTTCAACAAGATTTTTGATGCCTTCAGCCTTGGCCCATCGTTGCTGTCCCTGTCCTTGTGATCTCGCTGTTATCTATCTCTAGTTGCTGCTTTTATTGTTGCTATTCTGGCCTGGCCTAGCTCTGTCCTTGTACCTCTGTGCGTGTCATTTAACTGTCTTCTTCCAGCCATACGCCATATATACTTTGCACTTGCAGCTACTTGGAAGCACTTGCAGCAACATTCTTGAAAGTATGCATTTTCATACTTCTGTGTTAAAGGGCTCTCTGTCCGTTTGCCTGGCCCTCTGGCTGGAGTCAAATCTAGAGTAGTGATGTACATGTTATCAGGCGGTATTTAAGAGATGCCCCCTCAGAGGAGATCTTGTTCATTGTTGAGGTACACTTTGATACAACGTGGTGCACTTTTCTAATCTCGCTGCTGTTGTTGCCCTAGTCTTGTTTTAAAGTAGAAAACCATAAAAATAGTTTTATCTATGTGAATTGCTATATGCATTTACTGATACTAAATTTGATGTTATATATGTAATTTGTTCCAATAGCTCCCAAGCTTAACACATTGGTTCAGACATTTGATTACAGGAAATAGTATACACCAAGGCTTCCACCCATCTCTACAGCCCCTAGAACTTTTTAAAATGTGTTTGTATCTGTTTCACCAGCACGTGTATCTGTGTGGCACTTGTGTGTCTGCTGCCCACAGGTGACAGCATTCAGTCACCTAGGACTAGAGTAGAAGACAGTTGTTAGTCACCATGTGGGTGCTGGAAATTCAATCTCTGACTTCTGGAAGAGTAGCCCTTCTTCTTAACCAGTAAGCCATCTCTCCAGCCCTGCCCCCGTAGCTTTTTTTTAGTAATGTAAACGCTTTATTACGCTTACAAGGAATGGAACCCATTCCTTTCATCACAGTTAATTAGGAGTCCAAAAGTGGAACTGCCTCTGCTACAGTGGGGTTGTTTTTAATCTTGTGGGATTTTAATTCAGCAGTAAGTTCACAACCTTTTTGCTATTGAAATAAGCTATCTACAACTTTCATATTCGCTGTTGTATTATAATTAAATAGAGACATCTAATTGTCTATAAAACAAAAAAAAGCGCAGAAGATAGCATATTCTTTTCAAACAAAGAGGTATGTAGGAAACACTTAAAATCGAGTTTACAAATAAACAGGTTTGTAGTTTATATTGTTTAATCAGTTATGTACCATTGGGCTACCTTGTTTCTGAAGTTATGGACATGTTTCTACAGTCATGGCTTTAGAATGTCTTATGCCCAAGCACAGCTAAGCTAATGGAAGAAATGGGGATACGGAAAACCAGAAACCCCCAGATTCTGCCTCCCCAAGTGCTGGGATTAAAGGCGTGTGTCACCACTGCCCAGCCCTAAAACAGACTTTTTATATACAGATCATATATACTTCTCTTGGACAAGTCAAATGGAAGACTGATGACCAACACTTTGGAGGTGCAATAAATACTTCTGTAAAACTAATGAAAAAATAATTTCATACTAGACAGCTCTATATAGGTTAAAGACATGGTGATATATTTTATTACATTGGACTTTGGGGCTTTCTTTTCTTAGTGTTTTATGTTTGTTTGGAGTTTTAGTTGTTGTTTCTCAGTGTAGCCCTGGCTGGCCTTGAACTCATAGAGACCCACCTTCCTCTGCCTCCCAAGTGCTGGGATTAAAGGCATGCACAAGCACTGCTTGACTTGACTTAAGTTTTTAAGCTTCTTTGGATAAGGAAGTCTTTTTCTCTCCTTAGCCGCTTGTAGGGTCTTTCTCAGTTCTGCCATCTGTCTCAGATTACTAAGATTTTGTTCAGCTGTGGGTTTTCGTTTTCATCACTCATCTGGCTTGATCTTGATTTTAAAGATCTCTTTCTTCAATTCTGCAAAATTTTTCTTCAACGTTATTTTCTTCCTTCCATTGCATCTGTTCTTTTTCTTTCTGAATACTTCTAAAAGAATATGAGATTGCTTAGAAAGAGTATGTTCTTCATTTCTGAAATACAACCTCTTCCCTTTGTCTGCTTTTAAAAAAAAGTATGAATCTGCCCTAAAATGTTCATTTGCATATTTATCTTAAAATGTTATCTATTTACTTGTATAATAATTAACTATTTGCAATATATGCCTACTTTAAAATAAGATTAAATAATATACTGCTTTCACTAATGATAAATAAAGATTGGGAAAATTTAAATGGATTTCTTGATTGATGCTTAAGTAGATGCACATTAAAAAGCTAAAATCATTAAGCCATGTTAACTTAACCTGTTAACTTCACCTGTAACTGAAAACTGAAATGAAGGATTCTAGAAGTTCAAGGCCAGGCTGAGATACTTAGTAAATACCAGGTTCAAAAGGGTTAAAGAGCAAGACCCAGTCACAGAAACTGAAAGAGTTAAATCATCGAAGGGCAAGTTTTTATATCTATAGGAATGTAATTAAGACATGGGCTCCTTTTTTTCCTCCATGCATTGTGAAAGATATGAGGTCACCTTGGAAGGACATTACATATTGGAAGGAAGATTAGTTGATGTTTTCTCCAGGCTACACAGTTAACTGTTGTAAAAGAGGAAATGTTTGTAATGTACTAAGTTGTAAGCCAAGTCATAAAACTACATGTTGTAAAATCCTTGTTATATTTGTCTGTTTATAAATATGGACAATAAAAGGGAACTCTACTGAAAACAAACAGAAAGCCCCAAAACATATCCATGCACCCACAGTGCACACTGTATACATCCCCGTGCACCCACAGTGCACACTGTATGCATCCCCGTGCACCC